TCATCCTCCTTAAGAGCACTGGGGCTCTCAGACTGGAGGTGGGACAGTACTACAGTGTCCCGGAAAGACTCATCAACATAGATCTCTACCTCCCTTAGCTCCTCCAGTTCAGCCACCCTGGCCTCCAAAGCCCGAACTCGGTCTCTGAGGGTCAGGAGCTCCTTGCAACGAGTGCACACATACGCCACCCGCCCACAGGGCAGGTAATCATACATGTTACACTCGACACAATAAACAGGATAGCCCCCACTCTGCTGCTGGGCTTCTGTCTGCATTTTTCTAATGAATAAGTTTAGGTGTAAATGGGATTCTTTTTAAATCTCGGGAATATAGATTATTCTAAGAGTTATGTTTTAAAGAAGGTCCGAAGTCACTAGTACCCTCTAAACTCCCTCTCCAAACTCTCCTGTTAGCTGTTCCTGGTCGCACTCTCCCTGGTCGCTGAGTCACCGGCTTATATAGCTCTGGTAGCCCCTCCCCCTGACTGAGGCTCAGCCAATTAACAGATGCTTCTAGGTTTCAAACCTTTTAGAAGCTCCACAAGGGTCCCATTTTTACTCCCTCTTTTACCTGGAGAACTCCCTCTCCAAACTCTCCTGTTAGCTGTTCCTGTTCGCATAGGTTCCTATCTGCCCCAAGGGATTAGATTTTTCAAGCTCTGATTGTGTGATAGTTAAGACCGCACTTAACAACAATCAGTTAAACTTTAAACCAAACACTCCAGCAAAACAATTTTATTTTGAGAAACTTGTACATCTGGAAATGAACACGATTCCAGCACCATCTTTAATTCTGACATTCACCCATCTCGTATTCCAAAGAACTCCATTATCCCAGTGGGGGAGAAGACTTGTTTGTTAACCTACATACTAGTTTATGAATCAAACCTTCTCTGGGCTGTAGAATCTCACATATCTCTACACACAGATCACTGGAAACCCAGTTCCATACTCACCAACCCATTAGGGGTGATATGATCCAATCCCCTCATTTACCTTCCCTATATTGGACCAAAGGACAATTCCCCTGACACAGGCCACTACCTGTCTTTTACCATAACTGCTGTACATGGACTGGTTGTTGTAACGTATATTTCTCTGCAGTATGAACTTGCGATCTGCCTGTAACTCGTAGTTTAAAAAAGAACTTAGGTTAGCAGCCAGTAATCCGAATCTGAGTTCATAAGAATTTGTCCTTGCTCTGATTTGTCAATGTTTACTGTATAAATGCAGAGCTTTAGTTTCTTAGGGATTCCTTCCCTTATAGCTAAGATTGCAAAATAACTTGTGTAAAAAGAAATGCATGAAGTTCAAGTGTCACAGTCCTTTTTATTTATTCTTTTTAAAAGACCAGTTTTGTTAGGGCTTCTCCAAAAGTGCAGATGCTGAACATTCTTGTAATGGCTGCTCTGTGAATATTTTACTGTGTTCGTGTTTTGAGCATTCCCTGTGAATTAGGCCGCCTTTTGTTCGTGTATTGACAGTTACCATGTTAAGGCTCTTGTTTGATTATGTGGGACTCCTTAGTTTAATGAGAGCAGCTTCTCTACTGGCTATTCTATCCATATTTTAAAAAAAAAAGCGTCAGTGAAGCCTCTTACTGGGGCTTTCTTGGGACAAAGGATTTTTTATGCTAAAGGAAAATATATTCTCTTGGATGAACTCGTGGGAAGCCATAACATGCTCGTTTGTAATGCCTGCTATGTACTTTGCCCTTTTCCCCTAATGCGTAGGAAGGAAAATGACTTCAGGGGTAAGACAATCCCACTATTTATTTTGTTTTCCTGCAAATAAAAAAGAGATGTAGTTCTTGCATGTCTAGCTATAACCAACTCCGGGCATCTATGGTACCTTTTTTTTTTTTTTTTTTTTTTTTTTTTTAAATCAGCATGAGCAAGTTTCGTACAAAGAAAAGGCTCCTGTCTGTGAATAAACTGATTGTAAAGTACCTACATGGTCTTAAGGTAAGTATTGTAAAGGTTGTTGCAGTATGTGAAATGCCAAGACCAGCTGAGTGGGGAATATAGATGGGTAAAGAAGTTTGTTTTGTTCAAATCGTTTCTCCTAGTATGCCCTCCCTCTCTCGATCTCTGTCAAAATTTCACAAATGTGTTTTAATCCCACTGTGACTGTGTGATACTATATAATTTTTTTCCTGTTGTCATCACGCAGGTCTTCCCTTTTTTTTTTTTTTTTTTTTAACTTTTTCAAATAAATGTTTGAGAGAAGTCTTTTCCTAACATGTGGCATTTACTCCAGAGTCATTGATTTGACAAACTATGGAAGATAAATGTCTCCTTGGAAGTGACATGTGAATTCTTGTTAAACGCTAACTGTAGCTAAATAGAAGTGAAGAAACTTGCCATTTTGTCCTATAACATTTACAATTTTCTTATAGTATAGAACAGTAAAATAGCATGTCAAAACTGACTTTTGTGACAGTTATAATCTGACACTTTTCACCCATTTTTTTTTTTTAAAAACTTTTGCATGATATTAGGAGTGATTCCATTAAAAATAATTCCCTGTTTTCTCTTTCTTCCCATCTTTCCAGGGAAAGACTCTCATGTAAATACAGATGACCATGCAGCATGCAGTTCGGGTAAGTCACAATAAGAATAAAAATTTATGAAATTGTATATGGCATCTTTTCTTTCGGCGAGGATTTACACAGAAAAAATTACTGCAAGGCAATTGCCCCTATGAGAGATTTACCATCCCCATTTTACAAATGGACAAACTTCACCACAGGCTAAATGAGTTGTCTTAGGTTCACACAGGGAATCAGTGGCAGGACTAATGAAACCCAGAGGTACTGAAGCCCAGCCTTCTGTTTCAACTGCTCGATCACTACTCTTCTTACGTGTTGTTACTTTAGAACAGAGGTGGGGAACCTTTTCTGGTTGGGGGCCGCTGACCGACGGAAAAAATCAGTTGGGGGCTGCCCACAAGTGAGAAGCAAAAAAAGAAAAACAAATCCTCACTGACATGGGGCCCCCAAATGAGAAGCAGAAAGACACTCCCCACATTCCCCTCGAACATCAGAGCCTAGGAGAGCCCAGGCTAATAGATTTTGTGTGCTACAACTCCACAGTGGGGCAGCAGGGGAGCTGGAGCTCCAGCACGGGTTCCCCAATGTTGGGGGAAGGGGGAACCCTGAGTCTCAGGGGCCAGATCCCAGGCAATCCAGGGGCCATATCCAGCCCCGGGCCTTAGGTTCCCCACTCTTGCCTTTGAAAGTTTCTTCTCATAGTCTCCTATTCTTCAGCCTTTGTTTTCTGCTTTACTTTGTGGGCAAGTCCTTCCTAACTGTTCCTCACTCTTGTCCAGTCCCAAGGAATTTGCAGTCCAAGGTAACATTTTCCTCTTGGGTATGCCAGTGGAACTCCATTGAAAACAGTGGAGTTCTATCTGTCATGGTGATTAGAATTTGCATCTTAAGGTACAGATGGATACAATTTAGAACAAATTTTCATCTGCTCCTGATTCTCTTTTCTGTTTTGTTTTTTCCTGCCAGCCACATGGCACAGTGGAGTTCCATGTAGAATTTTTTGCAAGGCTAATTGTTATGGTTCACATCAGAGTTTTATATTCTTTGCTAACATGAAACAGGTGTTGACACAGGGAAAAATGAGGTCTAAAACTGGGATCGATATTCTTTTCAAATGAAGTAGTCTTTCCTGATGCAAAGCGAGAGACGCTTTCAGTATCACTGCACATTGCTTTAGAATGCTTGAATGCAAGAAGTGAAGACTACTGTCTAAAAAGTGTATGTTCTTGTATGAAGCAAGTCTGAACAGCAGAATTTTTCTACCGTTGCATCATAATGTGAACGTCCCTCCCTCCTCCCCCCTCAAAAATAAAAGCTTCTTGTGAATTCTTTGGTCAGAGAGAATTTAGTTTTAGGCTGCAGATTTTTCTTTTTATATTGTGGATTTTGCCCAGGTCT